TGAGTCGGTATCACACCATTTTAATGTGGCTTCTCGATGTTTCTGATGAGAAGTAACCAACCCTACAGTTAAAGTTCCGATCCGGGTCATTTCCGGAATTGACGTCACTGCCACGTCTCCTTTACTGAGACTGAAAGTCCCCTGAGTTGTGCCGCTTTCGTCACCAGAGGGCAACATTTCTCCTCCATAGAGGTAGTTAAAATTAAACTATAATCAACACAAGACAAGAAAATAACAGCTAAATTTAACTTATTTTAGCCTAGTTAATTTTAAATAACGAATATAGTCAATGAAAAATACAAAAACACTGATGAGTTGAGGAGTAATATTACTGCGTATTCATCATTTGACCACCAGGGGGCAACAATTTTTTTCTGACATTCCAACAGCAAAGTACCAAAGGCAACACAGATACTGTAACTAACTCTTGTTATTCTTAAAAATAAATAACAAGGATGGTGTTACAAATAATCATGAATACATTTAATTCTTCTTAACTACATAATTTTCCAAGAAAATCAACAGATATTCTTTAGGAAAGAAAAAAAATTGCTGTATTATCACAATCAGCTTGAAAGTTTTCAAACAGATTCTCTATTGGTTTTAGGTCTGGGCTTAGACTGGGTCATTCTGACACACTCTGTAAATATGCTTTAACTTAAGCCATTCCATGGTAGGGTTGTTGTCCCATTACATACTGCCCCAGTTTCTCTGTGCTGACTACCAATTTTTATTTGTAAAAAGTTTTTGTAATAAAAAAAACAACAACAACAAAAAAACATTTGTCTTTTTCTTATTACTTTACAGTAAATCCCACTTAATCCTGGTTTACCACATAAAATCTAAAGAAAATATAATGAAGTTTGTGGTCTTAACATCACAAAATGTGAAAAAGTTCAAAAGATGTGCATATTTTTGCAACTGCTGACATTTTGTAATTAAGTAATAATTCAACTTTTGCGCTACAGCAAACAAGAACGCCTGGAGACACAAAAACACCTGATTGGCTGCCGCCTCAGGTGAGTCGACCTGCAGATATAAGGTATGGAAAAATAAAGATAAGATCCAGCAAAGCTCTCTGATGTCCAATCACTCCTGCTGGTACCTGCATCCTCTTCCTGACAGGATCAAGCCTGCCTAAACCACAGCTATGTCCTCGAACGTTTCGCTGCTGGACCCCCAACCACAAAACCATGCGTAGCTCTCGACCATCCTGTCTGAGCATGACCCGACCCCCTCATCCAGTTCAACCAACATGTCAGTTTTTGTATCTCACCTCAATGTGTCAGGGCATCTGCATAGTCTATCAAACTTGTTATTTGACATTTACCCTTGTCAAGTCATAAAAGAAATAGGGATTTTCTTTTCTTTGTCCCTGGATCTTAATCAAAAATATTGTACAAAAATATGTTGATCTGTTAATAAGTTAAAGATAAATTAATACTAATATTTATGCAATGTTGCATTGTTTCAAAGGTTAAATATATTCATGATGTCCAGCAGATGAAGATACTTGACTTTGATACTTCAACAGAAATTAACTGCTTCACTTTTGACATTTTTAGTGGTATATGCGCAGCATGATATGGATGTGTAAAGTAATTATTGGGCGTGTCAATGTTTTTCTCTCTTAGCGTATTTCTAATAGGCCTGTTAACACTGTTATGGTCTGGCTCTTAAACCATAACAAATGAAAGGGAAGCAACGCAAGAGATAACTTAAAAGGGAATTTATTTAACAAAAATCATAACTGGTTGGGGGAGAAAGGGGAGAGAGTGGCAGGGAGACAGGAAGAATGAGCTGCTTAGTCAGAGAAAGTGGTGCATCTTAAGGTGGATCTGACGTCATCTGGAGACACTGGCCAGCTGCCTCCACTTCCAATCAGCACCAATTAAGGAGTCCAAAACATGGATGTTAGAGACCCAAAGGAAAAGGCCTTGGGCCGTAACAACACGAAAGTCACTTCAGAGGTCGATAATCCAGACCAACAAAGAAATAATACAATTAAATCTGCAAATTGTGTTTTGTGTAATAAGGTAGAGTGACAGAAATATGTGTTGAACGGAGGTACAAAATGGCACTGAAGATGTTTGAAAAGCAATCCTTCTCTGCATAGGTGCAAAATACCATAAGATTGTTTAGTCTTAATTGATGTCCTATAAAAAAAAATTCTCATTGCCATTTTATCACACATGATGATGCAAAGCAGAAAGCTCTCTCAAGATCTTTGTAATCTTACTGTTGGAAATAATAGCAGTAGTATTGGCTATGAATTTGTTCCCAAACTTGTGTTAAAATGGGATAAAATCCCTGAGCAACACCTGGGAATAGTTTCTTAATGCAGGAGGCTGAAAAAGTGAATCCACTTTATTACTCAAAGTCTTTTATGGATTTGATTTCTTTTAATGTGTGGATTACTTGTGCTGTTACAGAACCAAATTTGAATTCCATGTCAAAAAACATAATTAAAAATGTATTTACTAAAGAAAAAGTTCAGTTCCCATTTCCCTGCTGTAGCGATGAAGACGAACATCAAGTTATTTTGCAGTAACTCAGAGGAATTTCCATATCATCTCTGTCATCTTCATACTTTATCTTCTGCCTGTTCTCTTTGCGGACACTTTCCCATGTAGTGACAAAAGAGGCACAGATCTTTTATCAAGACCGATGTCCTTCAGTGGAGTGAGACAGGCATGGTCTGGGCCATGTTTCTGTTAAAGATAACACCATTTTTTGTGTAAAATGAAAAAAAAAAGCCTCTTTGTATTCGCCTAAAAAAACACTCACTGTCCTGCGAACACGCTTGAATGTTCCCTGCCTTTCTAACGTTGAACTAAATCTCCCTTCTTTCTACCCCTGGTCTGTGTTATCTGCCTTTTTGTCACACAGACTCACACAGAGGAGCTGATACCATCTGACAATACACAGACCTGATAGCGACCAGTACCTGCTTCAACACAGCTGCTGCTACATAAGCAGGGAGGAAACCATGGTTGTAGTTATTAGAAAAAACAGAGAGGGAACAGCAAGGTGGAAAAATACAGGAAGTCCTGATACAAGCAGACAAAGCCACAAAGTGAGGATTGTAGAGGGAGGAATGGAAGAGAAGCCAAGAGAAAAAGAGGATGTGTGTAAAATACGCAAGGAGTCAAAGACAGACACAGCGTCCTTCTGGTTTTTGGGAATATTTAGTCAAATATTAGAAGGATTAAAGTGCAAAGAGCTGAACTGAGTAGATCGTAGAGAGAAGACATCCTCTCTATGTCTATACATGACTCACTCTGTCCTTTTCTTGCTCCCTGTCTCCCCAATCTGGCTGCTATATTTAGAGCGGGCATTATGCCCTTTCAACAGAGAGGTTGGCAGCAGCACTTAGCTCTTCTCATCCTCCACTCCTATTCCCTTTTTCTCATCCTCCACTCCTATTCCCTTTTTCTCATCCTCCACTCCTATTCCCTTTTTCTCATCCTCCACTCCTATTCACTTTTTCTCATCTTACATTTTCCTTTCCTTTCCTTTCCTTTCCTTTCCTTTCCTTTCCTTTCCTTTCTTTTCCTTTCCTTTCCTTTCCTTTCCTTTCCTTTCCTTTCCTTTCCTTTCCTTTCCTTTCCTTTCCTTTCCAACCTGTAATTCCAGCACTGTGGAAAAGTCTTGAGGCCCACGTTTGTTTATATAATTATATTCTTTAAGTAACCAGCTGGTCTCATCTCCAGATTTTTGGATGATCTTTTAAAGAGTTTGGCTCAAAAACAACACTGAGCTCTGCCAAAAGAAAACTATGCCTAATGTGCAGCATGGTGATGGCAGTATCATTATCTGGGTTTACTCTTTTAAAAGAGGGATCTGGTTGTTTTTATCACATTGGATGAAATTATGAACAGTTCCTAATGCCTGTCAGTTTTTATGAAAACCTTCATATGTCTATTAGAAAACGGAAAAAGGAGGATTTTGTCACTGCTTACCATTTTTTTGCATGTTAATGATTTGTCTTTGATGATGCTTCAGGTCTTTGAGATTGAAAGACCTCCATACCATCACCCTAATCTTTAGCTCCCTTCACACATTCTCTATCAGATTCAATTCAGGACTCTGGATGGGCTGCACCAAAACCTTAAAATTAGTCAGAAAGAAACATTGCCATAAAATAAAAAGACTCATTTAAACCTGGGAATCCCAGCCTGAGGTCTTTCTGCATGGAGTTTGCGCGAGCTGGTTCTCTACAGGTAATCCGGTTCCTATCGCAGATCATTGGTCTTTCTAGATTCCTCCTACGTGTGTGTGCCTGATTGCTTGTCTTGTGTTTTTTGTTGCTCCGTGTTGCACTGCCAACCTGTGCAGGATTTAACCTCGTTCTTACAGATCAGCATTAGACTCCAGGTGACCCTGCATAGAGAAGAGACAATGGATGGAAGGATGGATAGACCTAAATCTATCAGGAATATGAATAATTTTGGCCTTAACTTAAAATAAACTAGAGGCAGTTTGAATTTTTTTACACAGTGTTGAACATATGTTATTTCACCGCATCATTAATTTATAGTAAAATGCTAACAAGGCCTAAGCAAGAAGCAGGAGAACAAATTTTGACTAGTTCTGCGGCACAGACCCAACATAAACACCGGAGAAAAAAATAGGTCTGTTAGAGTTTCGCCAGTATTGGACATTGTTCCCACAGTGGCACAAGTAAACTGACTCAGATGCATATTAAGGATAATAAAACTCAAATCTGAGGCCTCACATGAGTCTGAGTAAATAAATAGTGAGGGCTTGCACACGTTTGTACTTCTGACTCAGCAGCACAGACGAGAGGAGGCGCAGCAACAATATTATGTCTCACAACACTGCGTCACAGCGCATACGCACTTTCTCTCAGTGTCCAACTCCCAGGGTGGCAGCATAATGAAAAGCATCTGTTTACCTTTCATTACGGTCCAACGAGAGATTAAAAAACAAAAGAAACAAAGGAACAGAGGAGAGCAGGAAGAGAACCAGAGCACATATGAAAAATAAGACATTTCCTTTAATAACATCTGTAACATTATGGTTGTATTCTGGTATAATTCTGGATATATTCAAGGACGCAGAGTACACTTTTAATGAGGACAATGAACCAATTAACTTACAAGTTAATACAACATAAACCTGCATCGTTTTCTACAAAGACATCATAAAAGGGCACAAATGGTGTAGCAGCAAAAAAAGAGTGTTGCTTTCTTGTCTCTACATAGGCTACAGCAGTACAAAGTCTTTGCAGAGTAGAGATTTGTTGTAATGGACACCTAAAATGAAGTTACAGATATGTCTCTAAAGTATCCACTATGTCATACACAGTACGGATATGACAGGTTATAGGATGTTACAGAGTTCAGTAGGGGATAACTAGAGTTTATTCAGACACTGGAAGCTGGAGAGAGTTACCTTAACAGTACATAGCACATTGATGTTGGAAGTTCACACAGGAGAAGGACATCTAAGAGATACAAACATGTCCACACTTTAAATCTGCATGAAGAGGCAGGACAGATAAATCCAGATGTTTGCAGAATGAAAGTTTCCTGACAAACTGATCAGATTTCATGCATTAAAACAGAACGCTTGGTGAAAATGTGCATAACACATAATATACAGAGTGCACCTTGAACTCTTTGATATTTTGTGAAGCAACGCATTGCAGCTCCGAGCTAAAATGTATTGTATTGAGATTTTGTGTGACAGTCCAACACAAAGTCCTACATAACTGTAAAGTGAAAGGTAAATGATACACATCACCTACTAAGAGATGGCAGTCTATCTAAACACAATGGAGAGCATTACAACTACTGACAGAAAAAAATCCCCAGAAAGCACAACCAGAAATACAAAGGGATGGGTTAGATAAAAATATATTCGTGTTAGGATGGCCCAGTCAAAGTACAAACATATCCAATTGAGACTCCGTGGCAAAATTTGAAAATAAAAAAAATTCAGACCAAAGCAGCTGTGACTACTGCTGTATACTTTCCCTTCCACTTTGCAATTATGCGCTAGTTAGTGTTTTGTGTCTGTCATTAAAAAATAAGAATATATATATATACAAATAAAATACATTGAACCTCGTGTGGTTATTGTGGCCAAATGTGAAAAAGTCTAACGGTTATAAATACTTTTCTACATCACAAGTGAATGTGTGATTTCGTTTCTTTTGGTCCTCAAAGTAGATTTTATTTCTTGCTGTATCATGAATCGATCTTACAATATGTGCTCTGCAATCTCCATCACAAGTGCAATCTGTACTGCGGTCCAAATACTCATTGGTTTCCCTCTAACATTTGTTTGTTTATTTAAATATTAATCTTAAAACACAAAGTGTTAAATGCTTATAAAAATTATTAATATCCAAACAGGAAAGACTGCAAGTGATATCACAAAAAAACACTCCATTCCCAAGAGTAAAACAAGAGGATTGATACCATAATCCATGTATATTCTGTTTATGTGTTTTGGTTCATGAACTGGGTGGTTGGGTTTAGCATTAAGATAAAGAAACAGGGCTAAACTAGCCTGGCTCTACCCAAAAGTAACCTAATCTGCCTAACTGAGACCTTTAACCTCTTCAACCTTGGAGGTCCGAGCACCAGGACCATCTGTTTAAATTGAGGGGGAAAAAAGTCAGGTTGATGAGGCTGCAGCTAATAAGAGGAAAATATATGCAGAGTTTCTTTTGCAGAAAGAGCTTAAAAGGAGATTTAAGCTTTTAAGCTTCCTCAGACTCATCATTATGAGGTCGTTATTTACGCTGATGAAGCAGAAGCAGAAAGATCCCACTCTGGCCTGGTGATGGGAACAAGGAGGGTTTTCTGAACTGTTTCAAGTGTCTCTTCGCCATAGACCCCAAAGTTAATCACTATGGCCTAAGGCTCAATAGGTCGATTACTTAGGGACTTTTCAGGTGAAAATACAAAACTAACGAACTCGAGGGTTTAAAGCTCATTTTATGTGATCCTGTATCTAAAACGTGAAGAGTCTCTGATAGTAGTTATTCCCTCGAGTTTTTCAGTTTTTCTCTAAGAAAAAAAAGACTTGTATCTTCCCGTGTAACTTTCCCCAAAGTTATCCTAAACACAGATGCATCTCAGTAAATAAGAAAATCAAGTACTTCATTTATTCTGTAGTTCAATAAAAAAAATAAAAAAAACTCAGATTTTACATGAATTCACTAGAGTGATTTCAAGTTTTTGTTCTTGTTAATGTTGATGAATATGGCTTACTGCTAATGAAAACCCAAATTTTGTTTCAGAGAATATCAAAATATCACATAAGGTCAAAAAATATTTTTTTTAATGGGATATTATGTTATGAATTGCTGACTTGAGAGACATAAGCTGACATGCTCCACAAAAACGATACATCGCAAAAGGCAATGGCAAAATAGGTTGGTGATTAACGGAGCTAAATCCAAACATATCAATGGAAAGTTTAGTGAAAGGAAGAAAGGTGGTTGGAGTGAGTGTGCAAGCAGTATCATAAATAAAGCATCATTACACAATTTGACCATATAAGTGTTGTTTCTAGATGTTTTTTTAAGTGTAACAAATGAAGGATATGTTTGAAGTTAATGCAATAGGTGTTCATTATATACATATATTTAATCATGCTTATGTTTGTATAAGAAACAAACAACTTTTCAGACTATGCTCTGTTTGTCAAGTGACACTGAAGGTATATGTGGAAAGTTACAAGGACACCTTCGATATGAGAGAACAGGCCCATTCCGACAGGGTCTGACCCGGCGAAATGACAAAATAATGGAAAGGTGAGCGGAAGGACAAAGTTTGGTAGATAGAAGTGCATGAGTGATAGGGATAGGGTATTTTATTTGGATATGAAGGTCCCAAAATTTGTGGGAAGGGTGGAGTGGCACAAAATCCTTGTTGCTTGAAGTCCAGAGTGAAATTTGTACAGCAGATGACATGGTGGACCAACACCACGTCATCTGCTGGTGTTGGTCCACTCTATTTTATCAAGTCTAAGTCAGTGCAGTCAATCCCTGGGAAGTTTTAGAAAACTTCATGCTCTAAAACCAACCAAGTGTTGAGTCCACATACTGTACAGTCCATAAAGTTCTGATTTACTGAGAGAAAAACACAGACACTCTCCATAAGAAGGGGAAGTCGCAAAAGATAATTGTAAGTTAAGCTGCCAGTTAGCAGAGCTGTATTCCATGATGGAAAGTTTAGTGAAAGGAAAAAATGTGTTTGGATACTGCACTCTGAGCAGGCAGCTTCTTCAGCAATGACATTTTGTGGGTTTATAGAGAACTAGCAATGGAGTTCTCTATTAAGTATCCTGTTTCAATACATTAAGCCATAATCACCCACAATGATCAACATTAACAGGAAAAATATTTTAATTATATCACTCTGTGTGTAATAAATCTATATAATACATATTTTTCCATTTTTGAGTTGAAGTACTGAAATAAATCAGCTTTTAAAATCTATTCTAACTCACTGGGATGCACCTGTAAAGCCAAAATTGGATGGTGAAAATATAACGAAGCACTAGGAAACCTTCGCCTCTGCACTCAGAGGACCAGTTCAGCCTCTTCCTTTAAAACAGTAATAATCCGTCTCAACACCAGAGACTCTCCTTATTGCCAAATGCATCATTAACTCATTCAACGCAGAGGAAGTAACAATAATGCTCTAATACTCTGCCATTGCTATGGTATATATACATTATATATTTAATAGAGAGGTAGTGATTGAAGCATTGATTGACAGCAATAAACACTGAACAATGAGCATGGAAATACAAAAAAAAAAACATAATCTCATCTGAGGAGAGTATAAATACAAAGCTTATCACAGCAGCCACCCAAACAAAGTTCTGCTGCTTCAGTGCCGACACATAAATAATTCACACTGTGGATGGTAGCTTGTTTCTGGGTGACCATTCTTCAATCAGCGGGACTGTATGAACACTGAGCCGTGAATCGCGGCGTTTCCAAGCTATTGTTGAGCAGTTTTCTAACCCCAAGCCCTAATACGTCACGGCTAAAATGTTCTCAGTCAAATTTGGCACAGCAGACAAGCTCTGAATGGGAGTTGAAGGGGGAAAAAAAACAGACTTTAAACTCTCTGACCTGCCACTTCTTCAGCTCCACACACCGACTGACTGACAAGCTGCTCGGGAAGTAAATCTTTGTTTCCCGACTCTGTAGCCGAGCGGTCATAAAGTAACACTGAGTAAAACCGTGAGATTCAGCCTGAATATAAACAAGTTATGCTTTGGGTGAGAAACACTCCCTGCATCCGGGCTCTAACATGCAACAACAATAGCTATGTTTTCCTTTCACTGCACCGGGGACGGCTATTTGCTTGGTTTCTGTGTGCTGCACACAACACCACCCCACTGATTGTTTGAATTACACTTTGTAAATCTATAGAGTCTCCCATTTGTGACTCGTGTGAGACCTCTCTGTTTAAATTCAATACATTTGGGCATCGAACCAGCAGGCCACCCAGCGTGAGTCGTTATGCAGGCGGATTAAAGATGAACACAAGCAAAACAGAGACACTTCCCGCAATATATACTCTCCATTACCTCTGCAATCAACCTGGCAGAATTATAATAAAATATAAAAGAGTGGCATGTTATAAAATACTCTCTCTATATACATGCTTACTTTGCAGTAAAATTGCAGAGAAACCACTGACATATATTTGCACAAATGGCTTATGGCTACTAGCATTCGTTTCACATTGCATGTATGTGTGTAGATACAGATGCATGTGTGCCGCCGCAGCAGCGTCAATGTCTGCATTTAGCTTGACGTCTGTGTTCCTGGTATTATAAGTGTGAATGTTTCTGTGAGTGAAGCAGTGGAGAACCGCCAGGCCTCATTATTGCCATTCTCCTCACTGCCGAAAAGAGAGGCAAAGAGAGGCAAAGCGGCTCCTTTCAATTGAGGAGCTGAAGAGAGACAAACACAAAGGGCTCAAAATTAAACAAATGCCGGAAAGAGGCTTGGAGAGCCAGCCCATGGTCATACGCTTTGAGTGAGAGTGAGCGGTTGCAGGGATAACCCATCTGTGTCTTTCAGTGAGCAGACCACACAGATACCCCCCGTCCCAGCATTCATCCTCTCTGTTAGGTCCAGAGACACCGGGGTGCCTGCTCATGAACATGCCCCGTATCCTTCTGGTGCGCCTCAAAGTACATATGTCCACTGATAACACGCTGCTGCTGCTGCTGCTTCTCAAATCCTCTTGATATAAACCTGGAATCCGTCTCAGTGTGCAGTTTTCCTTCCACCGAAACATCAACATGAAGGACACTTTGGCCCAGCCAGTCTGGTCTCTTGTGCAGTTAAGTTGCAATCCAGTCTCCAACAAAAAAAAAAAAACAACTTAGCAGAGAGAGTCCTAGGGCCTTCATCCTTCACTCAAGTGACACAGAATGTGCATAAACACGCACACACACGCACACACACACACACACACACACACACACACGAAGCTTTGCCACAGAAGCGACGAGGTGGAAAATAAGCTTGCACACATACAGATCTACGGCACATTTAGGGTGTAATGATGCACGAGTACAGGTTCTAGTGTGTGCTTCTACTAATACATCCTTCTGGTTGATACTGGTCGCCCGACCATCTGTGCTGTCCATGGCACAGATGCTCAGAGCAGGTGATGGAGATAAAGATATTTGGTGGGATATGAAGGAAGTGGCTGGACGGATCAAGTCCTTGTCGCTTCGCACCTGAAACAACAAACAACAGAGAGGAAAGTGTCAGCAATAAAGGTGTTTTGATTGATCCTGGACAATGGAAATTCACTTATCAAGCTTATCAAATATCTTCTTTTAGGACTAAAGGAAGGCTGTTGTACATACTCTGAAGCTCTAGGTGATTGCATTTACAAATCTATTCAAACCCTTTGAATCTTTTCATGTTGCAACTTCGCATTTTCTGTGACAGACTAAAGCAAAGTAACAAATATTTGCACAGTGAAAGGAAACTGATGAAGGGTTTTCATGCATTTTTGCACATACAAAATAAAACAATATTTTATTGTTTATTCATCCAAAACTAGGACAAGTATGGAAGTTCAGAAAAACCAACAAGCAGGAGAAAGAGAGCATTATGTCAGAAAAGCAGCTAAAGGCCCATGGAAAAGCTGGAGAAGCTGCACAGACCCACAATTATTAGTTATTCGTCATAAACGTCACACATCTGGCCTTTCTAGAAGTGTGGAAAGAAGAAAGCAGTTGTTTAAAAGGCAGCATCAGGACGTCCTGTTTCCAGTTAAACACGAGTCAGGAGGGGAAGTTAACAAACATGAAGAAGAGCGGCTCTGGTTAGACGAGACCCAATTTAAAACTTATGTCCCACCTGTAAACTGGTACGTAAATCAAAAACTATAAGAATCACTCTTTCACTTCTTTTAATGTTTACATTCAATGTTTTCTGCTCTTTGGTGGATTTGTGAAGGACTTTGCTCACTTCAGTTGCCTTAAATGTACTGTATAAATAAGATAATACCCCCTTCAATATTTATAGCCACAGGAACTGTAGAAGGGCTCAGACCACATGAGTCAAACTCCTGAGGGCCTTTCAGATGTGTCTCTGCTTCAGAAAGCCTGAATCAAATAACTGGATCTTCAGCAGGAAACTAAAACTGAGGAGGTATTTCATCCATTTGGTTCGGGTGTGTTGGACCAGGGACACATTTAAAAGTTGCAGGACTCTCAAAGACTGGAGTTTCACATTCCTGGTTTAGTTTAAAACATATTCATGTGTTACATGAACACAGTCAAAGTCCAGATCTAAGTCCAGCTTGATAACTGCTGTCCAACCTGACTAAACCTGAGTATTTTTGCAAGGAAGAGTCTATAGATGTCACACCTTCCTGACTTCATTGTAAAAACATTTGGAAACCCATGGATCATTTTCCTTCAACTTTCCTAGTAACCACTCTATTAATGTATCTCTGATCCTCTATACCCATCTGTGTATTTGTGCTGTCCAGATTTGTTTGTGCCATTCATATGAACTGACTTGCAGCGATGGGAGTTGAGAGTCTGGCCTTTTCGGCTGCAGTTCTTGGCTTTGAGGGTGCATCTGCACTGACACGACGTTTCATCCAGGGCCCACTTCCTTCCTCTGCAGGGGCGGCACCGAGGTGTCGGGGACGGAGGCAGAGAGGGGCTTAGGGTGGTGGGACGAAGAGATGGAGGCGGTGGGGGCATGGAAGGAAGAATCACAGGAGCATGGGTTCTGGAAAAAGCACAAATAATACACTAGACTCATAAACAGTTGTTTTTTTTGTTTTTTTTCGTCATGCAGCTTTCTAAATTTCAGCCTAATAAGAGTATTGTTTCCTTTGCTGGATTGATTTAGAATTAGAATTAATTTTAATTAATCACATTAGTGGTGTGAATAATTGTGTTTTGAATCAAACATAATGAACGCCTACCTCGCGGAGAGCTCCTTCATCTGAGAACTGTACATGCGGCACCGAGGCTTCAGTGAGGAGGAAGGAGGAGGAGGAGGAGGAGGTAGAGTGGTGGGAGGAGGAGGTGGAGGAGGAGAAGATGTGGAGGGAGGAATCAGAGGATCATGGGTTCTGGATGAAAAAGAGATGCAAAAACCACAATGGTTAGACTCAGAGTTAATACAAATAAAGAGAAATCCCAGAGTGCTTTAGTAATCTTAAGTAAAAAACATTTGGATACAATACACATTTAACATGCATATAAGTATGTAGTTGATAAAACACAATGCAGCGCAAGTCAATATAATCCATGAAATTTAATATAATGTGACACATTTTGCTATGTGAAAATTTGGTACAGTGTGATCAAATATGATAGAGTATATGATGTGAACATGTATGATTATTGTGTTATTTTAAACACAATATGCTGCCACACAATGCGATGCGGTTTGTTATGATAAAATATAAGAATATGAGAAGATGTGACATGATCAATGAGATGTCGTAAATTATGAATATATTATAAGTTGTGATTTAAAGCAAAATATTTTGATACAAAACAGTATAAAATACAACATAACACAATACAATCATTGACGTGGGGGGAGGCATGTTGTATAATAAAATGTAAACATTTGCTACATTATAATGAATTATATGATGAAATACAGTAGATTAGATGATGACATATTATTTCATAACAGGACAGGAGGACAACTCGTTTCCCCTGTGGATCAGCTGCCACTGGGGAAAAGAAAATAACTGACTTTTAAAAAATTTTGATTTGGACGACAAGCTGACCGTTTTATTTTACCATCACAGGTCCATCTTTGACGAGAATAAACTGACCCCATTTAAGAATCCTAAATGAACACAGAACGGGACTGCAGATCTTGTTGGCCAGGAACAAAAGTGTGTGACAAATGTGTAAGGTAATTACTGGGATATTTTAGTCTAGATAATAGTGATGCACTTTCTAAAAATGAAATGCAGGGCTTGTTTGAACACGCACACTGCCTGTCCGAGACAAACCCCCACAATGTAGTGCGTGGGAGATGTGTGACTAATGCGAGATAATGTTTCTTTAGAGGCTGACAAACTCGCTCCTCTGTCTGTCTGTCTGTCTCTCCGTCTGTTACCATGGCTATGATCGCCTTGTTGCCTTTCACTTCTTACGGTTCCACCTCTAGATGCCCTGATCCTTCGCTCTCCAGAGTCTAAGTCTGAGAAAGTTGCCTGCGTCAGTCGGCCCATTAACTGGAGCTGGTTCTGCCTCAGTCGTCCCCAGGAGGCCGGCGGCTTTAATGAACTTACTTAATGAGGCAGAGAGGACCCATCTTTGTTCGCGTCCCGGTGACCACGCCTGCCGCTGGCATGGACAGAAGAAGTGGCATTTGGGAGCAGATTACACAGATTTCACCCCTGCCAAAGTGTGAATAAAGCCTTTTCTGAGTGATGGATGGGTGCTGGGGGACATCACACCCAAACGGAGCCACCTCTGGCCCCAAGGGTCCGGAAATGACTGACAATAAAGTGAAGGGGAAGCAGATGAAAAACACTACAGAGGAAAGGAGCGCTAAATCTTTTATCCTCCAGGAGTTAATAGTTATTAAATTCCCAAACTGTATCAGGGATTATACAACAGTGTGTCTCACAGCTCCAGACAGCACATATTGGCCAACTACTGGCTAAATACTGAGTTGATAACCGTGACTAAGGAGTTTATCCGTGGATTATGGCGATGTGTGTGTGTGTGTGTGAGTGAGACCTTGACTGTTGCTGTGGCTGTAAAACAAATTGTCCTTCAGTAAAAGCGCAGCCCAGATAACCCAGTTTTCTCTAATCGAAACACTTTCACTAAGCCTGAGAGCATCCAGAAAACCCAGACTGCTTTAAGAAAAAAAACAAGGTGAAGCTTCAAACTGAGATAAAATGTGTAAAGAACGCTGAACATACACAGATCTGACGGATCCGGTTTTCCTCTGCCTGGACTTCCTCCCCACTTTTTTCCTCTCTTTTCCTGCTGGCTTCAAATGGAGCCTGAGAACAGACAACATGCACTTTGTTAAGACTTTACATCTAATGATTAAAAACGGGTCATTATATATATATATATATATATAAAAACTGCTAAAACAATAGGTTTGAGGTTTATAGCAACTTCCTTGTTGGAATATGATGAGAATTCCCACCAAATTCATTACATGACAAAAATAAAGGCTTTTCTCCAGCCTTATTTGGTTGTACAAATTATTTCTTGCATCATTATAATTTATTATGTTATAAAACAACTGACTGGAAAAATCCACAAGCTAAAGGAAAAAACTGTGATATTTCTTTCCTTTGGGCCCCAATAGCCCACTGGTTTTGGTCGGGTTAATCTTTAGACAAATTTTAGATAAAGGTTTTAATATTAACAGTAATGAGATGTGACTGTGGCAAAGTACAAGTGGTCATCATTTTCTGCAGAATATTTAAATCTAAAATCTTGAACAAAGGGAACGTTGTAATCGGCACACAAATAAAAACACAAGTTTGTGAAGATCAGAATAAATTACGATTTCTTCTAGTCCAAGCAGGAGTTATAAACTGATTTTATATGAGAAGTGTTCAATATAATACTCTCTAAACGGATGCCTTTCATAACTCTCTGATGTGCTGCAAGAACACCTTGGATTTAACATCATTATCCTCCTCCTTCTCTCATCAAACACGGATGACTTGTTGACGATTTTTACAAGCTGTGCTACTGCTAGACGCTGCACTAGTTAAAGTTAAGCTCCGGCAATGCTGGTTGTAAAGCTGCTCCTACGTAGCGCTGTTTACTGGTGACCTACCAAGATGGCACTTTCCCATTTTGGCCATCTTCTTAAATTCTGGCTTGTCAACACAACCTCTGGGTCTTCACTCGTCTTTCGTTGTTAACCTTTATCCAGACATGAGGACAGCGTTAACCAGCTTTGGTCTGACATTATAAACCGCCCCTCCTGCCACTGTTGTTGTTGTTTTTGGAGCTCTAATTTACTATTATGGATGCGTGACTGTGTCTGGGACAGAGCACATGGCGGGGGTGATAAAATCATCACTATGGTGACAACAGGATGCGAGCTGTCCCAGAGGGAGACGGGACGTTTAAAGAGAATCAGACAGATGCTAACTCCCTAATAAACACTCACAATCACTCAAAAACATATTTTAAATAAGCACAAATGTGTTTCCACACAGCCAAAATCAAAGTATTTCAGAGTTCAGACACTATGTTATGCTCTTGATCTGTAATTAAAACATTAAATATGGCCAGGATGAATGCACACACATAGGTTGGAATCCCTTATCTATGTCCATGCCCAAACAGGAAGCAGGAAGACATAAACATTATGGATGCAATCATATGACTTTGTGGCTGGACCTGGCAGTGTGAGGCGCACAAACAAACAGACCCAGCAGAAATTTTCCTCTCGCAGCGTTCACAGGAAGAGCAAGGTTTACCATCTCTGAGTTTATTTACAGCAAACAGAGTTTAATGAGTAATAAAATTATCTGAAATCAACTCCTGAATACCGCAAAACCTCAGATGAGTTAACAGTAAACAGGAAGTTGCATAATAATAAAACATAATGGTGAAGCAGTCCAGTCAGAGCCCGTTTATGTAACGATTGCATCCCTGCACCGATTCCACCTTGCAACAAGCATTGGGGATTAAAGTCACTTTACAGCTGGCTGCTTAGAGGCTCCCTGGGGAGGATTTCCACCTCTGGTAGTGCTACAAATGTATTAGAGGCCAATGCACACACAAATGATGCGATACACGCCGATGGCCCACAGGTCTGCTGCACCTGTGGACCAGCTTTACTGATCCGCAGGTTCAAGCAGGAAACTATAGCAAAAAAAACTGTTGGTATTTCCTTAATGATTTTGAAGCTTTCACCAAACTAGAAGTAAAAATTACCAAATTTAAAAAAAAAATAAAGCCTGCATATTGAAACTAAGTTACAACGTACTTTTACAACGTACAAGAGTGACGCCAACACCAACATGATCTAAGAGTTAAAGTTACAGCCAAGTGCAGCTAAAAAACTGGAGATGATTAATTCATCATCAGCAGTTGGGGCCAAATGTTTGGGTGGGTTTGCTGCAAAACATCAGCAAAGACCTTCAAGAAGTCGCTTTTGAGGCTCATCAATGTGAGAAGAGTTGAGAAGTAGCCAATCAGTGCAGAAGGGAACATCACAGAAAATCCAACCCAGGGTCAGACCATGAAACAGTCAAAGAAATTGCTAAAATATCCCCAAAAACAACCATGTCCAGCAGCAGGACTAATTTAAAATGTTAGATGTTATAGTCCATGAGTATGGATTGTTTATAACAATTTCTAGGAGAAACTCTTTCCAGATCATTTAGATCTTCACTGCTGGATGAACCACCCCTTCTGGATCTGTTTTCTGTATGTGGATCAGATGCTGAGTCATGTTGCACACGGCCATGTTTGGGAAAGCAAACACAACACACCAGCTTTCT